AATGCAGACACCTGGGTTACCATGGTCTTGGCCAAGAGACATCATGCTTTTTGCCCTGGAATTCATGGACAACAGGGATGAAATTCACTTTTTCGGTTTACTCCCAAACAGAATTTCCTAAACTCTCTGCCAGATTTCCATTGGATTGGACTAACCCGCAAAGGAATTGCTTCAGAGTGGAAGTGGAAGGATGGCACACCTCATTTCACTGACCTGTAAGTCTCCATCACATTTAGAAAACTAGTTTATACCTTTGTGTTTTTCCTCTCAGGATTTGTAATATGGTCTTGTGGATGACCAAAATGGTCAGTCAGGATCCCCAGGATTATGCCCATCTTTTTCTACCAGAACAGAAAATTCTTGGTGTAGGATTATTAAGTGTCTTCATATTTTGTACTGTTACAATAATGTGTCACATGGAGAGAGGGATACTTAACAATTTTTTTTGTATGAATCTAAATTAAGAAATGAAATAATGATTAAATAAATGTCTGAGTCCTTTTGACAGACGTAATGTTCTCTCACGGTACAAGAAGGAAGTGGCAAAATATCTCAGAACACCATATATTTCGAAACTGAACAATTCCCTTTGCATGACATTACCATTAGATCTTGGGTGTTAAAAAAGGAAAAATGAAAATCACCAGTACTAATTTGCATGAGAATGAGGAAAAGCAGAAAACAAGATGCCATCTCAACTCGGCTAACAATCTCAAAGAGAATATCCAAGTGACAAAGATCTACTGGTTATGAGTCAACTTACTGGATAATTTTTCTGAGAAATTATGTTAATGAATAAAACATGATATTTCCAGTATTCTGGTATTTAATGCAGTAACACTGTTTGTGTTTTCACTGGTTTCCTTGGCTGACATGAAATATTTCATTTTACATACAGGTTTCCAGTATGGAAATCACAGCTTGGACAGTCCTATGCAGTTTTCAATGCAGGACAAGCCTACACCAATAGCTGTGATGAACAACGGCCCTGTGTGTGTGTGAAGAGGACTGAGTAGCTGTGACTGT